ACACAAATAAAACAAAACAAAAGACATAGAAGTCAACAATGAAGATCGAATCCAAGCAACTAAAAGTTGCAAGAATATAGAAAGGTCCAAAACACTTGCAAGAACTTTTAAAAAAAAAGGTGGGTCCGGGTCCTGTGACCTGTGAGCCTTGCAATTTTCAGCAAAAAATGGGTTGCGAAAGAATATAAGATTAGATCTANCTAGCATCTATTTTATTATCTATTTTCTCTATATAAATATCAATTTATATTAAACTTTTTGATTGACTATATTATCTTTAAAAAATATGAATTATTATATTTTCAATAAAGTGTTCAAAATTTTTTTAAAAATTTCATCAATCTAATATAATCTAAAATTACTCATCTTATGTGCAAAGATAACACTATCAGCATATATGTTTATTTTCTTTTTTATTTAAAAATTTTAACCCTTTTATTTTTAAGATAAAAAATAATTATATATATATATATATATAATTTTTTTAAATTAATTTATGCTATATCAATATAATTTTTTAGTTTTAATAAAAATTTTAAGTTGTATTAAGATTTTATGTAAAAATAGTTTATAGTGTATTCTTAAGTAAAACTTGAATTCTTTAAAATTTTGATATGTTTTAAAATATATATTATAGAGTATTATATTAAATTTTATCCTAATTGACCTAACTAATTCTTAATTACAGTAAAGTTCCAATATAATTAAGTAGTATATTAACAATTACTTTTATTTTATTCAATGAATTATAAGTGAAATCTTAATCGAATGAATTTCAAAAAATTTAATTTCTCAAACATTACTAAAAAATTACTCTCAATCACACAATTCAAAAAAAGAAAATATATAAAAGTTTAACATTTTTTTTTATCTTTTTTCTTATAGTTAGAATAACAATTTTTTGAAATATGCCAAGTTTTCATTATTCAGTAATAGAATATGAATAATGAAAAATTAAGTCTGATAAATTTGAGATAATATTTAATTCAGACACACATATACTAGTATATAATATCAATTTTTATGTATAAAAATTATTCACATATAACGCTTAATAATAGATAAATGTAACTATTTAAATTGAATGTTAGATAAGGTGAATTGGAATTTTTTACTATCATTTTTACTTGTCAAACATGAGATAAGGACAACGTAACTTAATTATGTCCGACATAACATGTGTTAACGTTTTTTTATGTNGAGATAAGGACAACGTAACTTAATTATGTCCGACATAACATGTGTTAACGTTTTTTATGTATATTATCCAAACACCACATAAAAGGTGTAGAATTAAGATATNATAAGGTGAATTGGAATTTTTTACTATCATTTTTACTTGTCAAACATGAGATAAGGACAACGTAACTTAATTATGTCCGACATAACATGTGTTAACGTTTTTTTATGTATGTTTGTACTTCTTGCCAACAGAAGTCAAATAAACCAAAACGATTACTGACGGGCTCAAAATGTAAGTTATATGACAGGACTTTCAGCGGTTTAACGATCACAAATTGACATGTGAATAGTTATAGTCACTATGAATTACAAAAAGCACTAGGCGAGGACGCTAAAGAGTTAATCCGTGCACCATTTATCGAGTCCAATATTAAAGAAGATATGACAGCTCATTAATAACAGTTTAAGTGACTGTGACAGGACTATTAATGAGTCTCTTTGTCCTCGAGACCCGTAAAAATATTCATCATTACAAGACATTAATTGTTATTACACCGACTCATTGTCCTCTGCAAGACTCGAGGTGCTTATTCTCGAGCAATAAATGCTCATGAGTAGATGTCAAGCATCGAGTAGGAGTTCCTAAATGATCGGAGATGGGCAATTAATATTCGTAGGTTCCTGAGCATGTATTCACTCTGCCGATGAGGTAAATCTTGAGGGGATTTAATTGGATTGCACTTATTATACTTGGATATAAGTGTTAACTATTAAATGTTGCGATGAGACTCACAGGCCCTTTAATCATTACTAGTTCAGATATAAATATTTGCTCAAGAAACTAAACAAAGGTATGAAAAACAAAATTTAGAAAATACACTGTGCTAATATCTCTAATGTCAACTGATTTAAGTTTCGGAGAAGATTAGATGCATGTTTACCTGATACATTTCCTAACCTTTTGATTGTTTCAAGTTCATCATCTAGTGAACCATTATCTCTATTCATCACAAAAATTTATTCGTACATTACCTATACTACTAATAAAAGTATCTTAAGTGAAAAAATTTTGATTTGCAATTTTACCCTCATAAAAATGTTTAAATACTATACTATATTTTCATAGTTAAATATCTAAATTACAATTATATCCTTATGTATTTAAATCTCTAAATTATCCTATAACATCTCTTTTAATTCTCTATTATTTTCGTATAAATATCAATATCTATGAAAAATTTTAACCGACTACGTTACTCTCAAAATATATATATATCATTATAGTTTTCAATAAGGTATTTAAAAACTCCATCAATATTTCATTACTCTTTTCAAATATAATAACATTATGACTATATATATATGTATTTTTTTTTCTGTTTATACTACTAATGAAGAATGAAACTTTTGTCTTAGTATGAAAAAATTTTAATTCACTATTTTACTCTTATAAAAAATTTTAAATATCTCGCTAACTTTCTATAGTTGAATATCTAAAACACCATCATATAATTATGTGTTTAAGTCTCTAAATTATTCCTAATATCTCTTTTAATTTTCTATTTACTATGTATAAATATGAATATCTATGAAACTTTTTAATTGACAACGTTACCTTTAAAAAATATATGAATCACTATAATTTTTAATAAAACGTTCAAAAAATTTTCAAAAACTTTATTAATATAATATTACTCATTTCAACTATAAAAATAACATTATACTTACATATGTGTATTTTTTTCCAAAATTTCAACCATTTTATTTTTAACATAAAAAATAATCTTTTGTGTATTTTTTTTTAAATAATTTATGTTAAATCAACATAATTCTTCAAACAATGTAACATTTTCATTTTTTATTAAGAGTTTATATACAAAAAATTATAGTATATTTTTAAGTGAAACTTGAATTTTAGAATTTTAATATTCTTTTAAAATATATATTATAGAGTAATGTATTATAATTTAGGGATAATAATATTTTTAATCCCTAAAATATGCATGTTTTGATAGTTCAATCTTTATTGTATCAATTTTATCACTTTGGTCCATAATTTTTTTTGTTAATATTTAAATGATTCATATACAGACAACTAGTTAAGTTTTTGACATAAGTGATCATGTGCTGGTCACACGATGCTGTCTGATAAAATAACATATAGTCACTTCCGTTAAAAAAATGTAATGGACTGTCTAGTTAGAGACTAAGAATTGAATATTTTAGAAACCAAAAATTATAGATTTCAATAAAAAAACTATATGATAAGATAATTATAAATCACAATTATATGTACAGACCAGATAAAAAAATCAAAAATAATATGTACATTAATATTAATTATTATTTAGAATTAAGAAAATTAGGTACACAGAGGGGTCATGACTTTTCCACTATATATTAACTATGATTTATAACATCATTTATAATATAGTAATATACTTTCCTATCTTTTTCTTATCATCCACTAAATGATTGTCTGTCGTTAGGAAAACTAATTAGACAATGATATCATTTATGCCTCTTAATCTTCTTTTATTTAACCCTATTTTTAACAAGTTCTCTCAATCAAAAAATGAGACAAAAATCCTCTAACCATCGTACAAACCAATTGAAAACCCTTTTAACTTCTCTCTCACCATTCAGTTTGAAAACTTTTTATCTTCTTTCTCTCCTTTCCTTTATTTTTTTTTTCTCTCTCTCAAACACCCATCTGAAATCAGATAACCCACATATATATAATACTAGTTATTACCTGTACCTGAAGACACAGAGTAATAAAAAATGATAAATAATAAATATATTTGTATTCATATCTAAAATTAAATCACAAACATAGAGAAAAAATAAAAGAATTTAAATATCGATTTGTAGTGGGGGTGAGAGATAGCGGGCGGTAGTGGTGGTGGTATAAGACAGTAATAGTTGTGATACCGGTGACGGTGGTGGTGGCGGTGGCGGTTGTGGTGGTGGGGGGTGACCGTAGTGGCGGCGGTGGTGATGGCGGTAATGACGACGACGGTGGCGGTGGCGACGGCAACGGCAACGGCGATGGTGGTGGTGGTGGTATATATATATATATATATAGTATTTATGAGAAATAATTTTTAAAAACATTTTTAAAAAATTACTTTAAACACACCCTTAGAGACCTATATTTTTTTTATTAAATTTGAAGTTTTAATATTAGCTGTTAGATTAAATTTAAAGTGATCTTAACCACAAATAACAAAAGTCATTTTATTTATTTTTAAAATTTAAATTATAAATTATTTTGTTATATAATTTTTTTATTAATATTTTATACATAAAATTTATTCACATGCAATGCTTGTGATGCATTTGTAGTGTATAAGTAAATACAAATTCAGAAGAAAACACGTTAATTAGCAGGCATTATTGACGAGATGGATACAACTCTTTACTAGAGTCGGTCACAGGAAATAAAATTTGATGAAGTATGTGGCGGGTGGGTAGGGACATGGTATGTACGGATATGGTCAATTTGACCGTGCGCTGCAAGAAATGTACAAAGAGTTGTTTATATTGACCCGATTCAGATTTGATGGGCAATTATATGTCGGATCCTCATCCTAGCTGGTACTCTTCCTTTCCTCCTCCTGTGTACTTGTCGCTCGCTACAAATACATTGCAAACCCGAGGAACAAAAGAAAGTTAAAAGTAAAACCCATCCCTCCCTTCCTTCGCTCCACAACCCAAGCCCAACCCAACCCAACCCACAAACCATATCATCATCAATATAGGTCATGCATAAAAATCAATTATTTTGTTATAAAAGCATACGCGAATTTTCTTTTCCCCCCTCTATCTCTCTTTCTCTCTCTAAAAAACCCTAGATTCTCCTCTCCATCTTCAATCTTGGGTTCTCCTTTTATTCTGATCGGTCTACCTTCAAAAGAGAGAGAGAGAGAGAGAAGCAATGGACGATAGCTGTGCTGTATGTGCCGAGACCCTGGAATGGGTAGCGTACGGAGCCTGTGGACACAAGGAGGTTTGCTCCACCTGCGTCGCTCGTCTTCGCTTCATCTGCAATGATCACTGCTGCTGTATTTGCAAAACCGAGTCCAACGTCGTCTTTGTCACCAAGGTTCCCTTGTTTTCTTTTACCATTCTTTCTTCTTTTTTTGTTATTCAATTTTATTATTGCTTTTAATTTTACGCACGCCCGTATTTTTATCTGACATCTTTCTTGCAATTCATTATTTATTCCCCATTCACTCTCACTCAGTTCATAAATATGGGCTTATTTGAATCCCTATTTAGTAGATTTTGTTCTTCTGATCTATGAATTTAGCCTGACCGTCATAGTGGCTATTGATCGCACTGAATTTTCCTACTTGTATTCTGTTATATTTTGATTTTCCCAATTAATGTACTGGGTTTAAATTAAAGAAGGGAACGTCTGGGGACTTGACGTTCCCTTCTTTCAGAAATCTACAGATGCCATGAAATCCTGACATTAATTAGTTGTTTGGTCTTTGTTATCATGGACTTCATATCTTGGAATTGGAGATGGAGGTAATATTGGTTTAAACTGTTTCTTGGATTCCAATTCCAGGGCATGTTACGTTGCTGCCAAATTCACCCACAAAGTATCCAGTATTCGAACTTCTTGTTCATATTTGTTTGAACATTGTTTATACCAGTGCCGATGATAAGTCCATTGTTGTTGATACAAATTCGTACTGCTTTGCTTGTGTTGCAGGCTCTTGGAGATTACACCAGGATGATAAATGACTTTTCTGTCTTTCCATCTGAAGCAAAAGAGGGTCGGGTAGGATCATATTGGTACCACGAGGACACACAGGCTTACTTTGATGATTCGGATCACTACAAGATGATCAAGGCAATGTGCAGGCTTTCTTGCAGTGTATGTGACAAGATGGGGGATCAGCCCAGTGATGGATCAAGGAGAAGGGGAAAGTTTAGGAATATTGAGCAGCTGAAAGGTCATTTGTTCCACCAGCACAGGTTGCTCATGTGCAGCCTGTGCCTGGAAGGACGTAAGGTGATATTCCTATCTTATCAATTATCATCTTTATCTCTTTCATCACGGGTCCAACTACGGTACCAAAATGTACTTTTTCCAATACCGTACCTCCATTTTTTATCCACTAAAAAATATTTGTCACGTGTAAAGTTTTATTATTTATTTATTTTTGATTATTTTATTATCTGTTCAATCAATGGTTTCAAATCATCTAAAACAAAATCAAGGGCTGAGATGCATTTTGGCATGGTACTGTTGCTTTACCCCTTTCATTACATTGTGTTGCTTTTTTGATTGGACTAGTTGTTTAAAGCCTTGCTGTAGATGGACGTAAGCTGATTGTGAAACATGTGTTGTGATCAAATGTGAGTTTGTAACAAGTGCTGTCTATGAGAAAATTAAGCAAAGCCAGAGCAGTGTTTTTTATTTGAAAAAAAGCTTACTAGCTATGCGGTAAAAGCACATTACTTCAAGAGCCTTATACACACCTCATGAACCTTAAGACTGACCATATTTCATGTATGAAACCCTTGAGAGACAATCAGCAAGTTCTGGCACGTGCTAGGCGAATGTGTGTACGAACGTGTTTGTGTATGAATAAATGAAGTCAGGAATGGAGTTTACCTTACATAACGTTGATAAATTGCATTGAGGTAGACAATCTCTCTCATGTCCAGTCTAAAGAATACAAATTCGTATTGGGGCAATAAAGACAGAGTAGTGCCTATTAACTTGAACTAGAGAAGTATCAATTAGGTATATTATGAATAATTTAATAAGTAGAGTGGCATCAATTAAATATATGATGAACAATGTAATAATCAAAAAGTAAATTTAGGCCATTTTAGTTGGAGGTTGTGTAACTGTGGAAAAGCGATCAAGTCATGGTAGATGGTTAAAATTACTACTCACTGAGAAGGTATATTATGATCTAAGCTGATGGACAGAGTTACGTGAATTGTAGTGATCAGGGAAGAAAGCATTGGCATTGTGGGGGTTGAAGATATGGCCTTTCTCAAGTCGATAGGTCCTAGTCTAGTAATGTACTCGTGTGGTTTAATAGTTTATTAGGTGTTTTAGAAAGGTTTATCCTAACCAACCCTAATAATTTTCAGTTAAGTCATATTAGAAATCAAATTGCGTAGCTTAGTGGTTAGGGGCTTGGATCAAGTCCCATCTGTGAGTTGGATCACGATGTGATTTGATACAACTCTAGAATGAAATACACCACAGCAAGTGGAGTACATTATGTTGAGTTGAGTGCACCTATGACGTTGACTTAACATTTCAGACATTGGTGGAAATTTTGCTTCCATCTAATCCCCCATTCTTCAACCCACATGCTTGTGTTGGGTGAATTGTGATCCTATATAATAGTGTCGGGTAAACAATTGTGACTTCGTCACACTATTTACTTTTGGGCAAACAGGTCACAATTTGGCCAACTATCCTACAAAGAAGCTTCCACTCTTCTTGACCAAGGAGTACTGAAGAAGCATGAATTATCTCCAATAGGTTGTATGAAAATAGTCACGCTATTCTCCTAGCCTTTAGTTAAAAATTCCTCCATTTATCTTTATCGGTACAGATGTTGTTCGGGCCTCTTCTCCTATTCAATCTCAAATAATTATTACTAAGGCGTTGAGTTAGAACGGCTTCTATCCTCGAGGTACAAAAATGTGATGGAGGCACTAGAGAGAATACTGGACCTACCTCCTTCCATTAATAATCCGAGGCGGTCTCTCTCTAGTCCAATCTTTTATCCTCCTCTCAAGGAGAATGGAATATTGAAGGTTTTGTGGTGTCTTGATACATGTATTGCTTGTTTGTTGTTATGCTATATCTAGGAAGAATATATCTATTTCCTCAGGATGATGGTGCCTGGTAGTGGTTGCTGAACAGATTTTTCTGTCTTCATAACTGCTCTAGGTAGAGACGGCTATGAAATTGTACTTTGACAATGCCAATGGGACTTGAGATGAGGTATTGGCAAGCAAGCATAGGGAGGGTGAGATATGGAGCCTTGATGAAATGATAGATGGACACTGGTTAATAGATTTGTATTTTGTACTGTTTTGGTCCAGCAACTTCTTAAAGATACCCTCTTAAAGTGGCGGTTGGGATATAGATAGGGGTGCATCATTTATCTAACGAATGAAACTACTGACTTGGGTGTTCTACATAGGTTAAGAGTGACATGCAATTTCTCTTTATGGGTTAATTATGGTGATAGTTGGATATAGAATGTTCTGGATTCAGAATATTGGTGCACATAATTTTATGTGACTCTGCTTTCTGATTTAGAATTTCACCAGACGGTTCCTGTCCCCTAGTCACAGTACATAATATGCTTATTACTTCACTAATACAATGATCTCACTGGCTTTGTTTTGAATGAATTAGGTATTTATTTGTGAACAAAAGCTATATACTAGAGCACAATTGAATCAGCACATAAACACCGGTGATTCTGAGGTGGATGGATCTGAGAGTGAAAGAGGTGGCTTCATGGGGCATCCTTTGTGCGAATTTTGCAGAACCCCTTTTTATGGACATAACGAGCTGTACACACACATGTCTACTGAACATTATACTTGTCATATATGCCAAAGGTAGAATATGTACTTGTTGTTTGAAATGACAGGATGTTTTGGGTGCCATCAAAACAAGTAGAGTTTACATTTACACTGTTTTGTGCAGACAGCATCCAGGACAATATGAATACTACAAGAATTATGATGACTTGGAGGTTGGATATCTTCTACACTCTTGATGATGATTTTGATGTTTTTAACTATTGCTTTGAATTTTGAATTTCTTATAAACTTTGGTTTCCCTTGATAGAATCACTTTAGTCGAGACCATTATATATGTGAGGATGAGGCCTGCCTTGCTAAAAAGTTTGTCGTCTTTCAATCAGAAGCTGAAATGAAGGTAATTTAGAGCATGAGTTGAATAATGCTTCAATTTTTTTCTTCATTCAAAATTTACTTTTATATATTTATTTGTAGGTGTGTGTGTCTGTGTACATATGTGTATGACGTAGATATGTGTGCAATACATGCATGTAGAAGTATGGGTATTGTGTTCATCCAGACTTTATCAAGTTCAGCATGGTTATTGAGCTGTAGTCTAATTTTTTTTTTCCTTCTTTTGGAATATTTCAATTTTCAGAGGCACAATACTCTGGACCATGGAGGGCGTATGTCTCGTTCTAAGCGTAGTGCTGCTCTTCAGGTATGTCTGTGTCTCTAACTCTTCACGTGTTGCTTTAATGTTTACCAATCAATTAGCACTCTCATTTCATTGTTCATTTGGAGGCTAATCCATGCATCCAATTTCCACTGTTTACTTCCACTTTTTTATTGCATGAGCATAACAATATACATTCCCATTTTTTATTTATTGTGTCTAGATACCTACAAGTTTCAGATATCGGCGGGGCAGTGAACAAGATAATCGTCGTGGAATGGGACGGACGTTCCATCATGATTCTTCTGATGCTAACCAACTCTCCATGGCCATACAGGCCAGTTTAGAGACAGCAAATGTCGATGGTGGATATAATGATCCATCAGCATTGAGTGCGCCTGTACTTTCCAATCAGGGAGAGACAAGTGATAATGATTCGATTATACAACCATTTGAACTGTTAGCTACTACAGATTCTGAGCCACCTTCGAGATATCTTCAAGCTGTGTCACAGAACTCAAGGAATGGACCTCTGGAAGAGTCTTCATTTCCTCCTCTCCCCATCGTACCTAATACCAGTCAACAAAAGCCCAAACATGATCATGAAGGTTTATCTAGGAACACTATGGCAACGCATCTCCGCCGCCAAAACAACCGAAAGGTGACTGTCCTCAATGCTGCTCAGGCCTGGCCTGCGGCAAGTCATGTATCTGTGCCATCAGCAATTAGTCCGGCTCATATTAGGCCTACAGCAAATAATGCTTCTGGGTTGTCATCTAGTTCTGGCCAGAATAAGCCAATGACAGACCATGGACCTGTACCAGCTAGTTATGCAAGTTCTGTTCAGGCTCGACCCTCACCTGTTCATGAACACTTTTCCGCTGGTTCTTTTAGTTCATCAAGGAATTGGGGGAGCAGCAATATGCTTAGCCATTCCACGTCTGCCCCAAACCTCGTGGACACTGGATTTTCTGACTCTTCCATATCGGATTTTCCGCCAGTTTATGCAGCGCAGCCACGGAAGTTTCCTGCAAGTGGCCAGGCTATGCTGAACGTAGATGTTCACACTGCAAACAAGTCCTTGGTGGAAAGAATACGTGCTGATTTGGAGTTTGATCATGATAAATACAGTGCCTTTAAAGATATATCTGCAGAATATCGTCTAGGCCTATTGGATGCAGAAACATATTTGGCTTACGTGGAGCAGTTTGGCTTGTCTCATCTTGTACTTGAGTTGGCTAGACTGTGTCCTGATACTCGGAAACAGAAAGAGCTTGTTGATACCTACAATGCTACTTTGGTAAGCAATGGGTCACGGGAAAATAGTTGGAGAAATGGCAGCATTCACTTGAAAGATGGTGATGGTTCCAAAAAAGGTAAAGTGAAGTCAGTAGATGTTGGAAGCAGTGGTTCAAAGGATAACTTAGCAGATGCCATCATAAGCACTGTGCGGAAACTGCAGTCAAGCTACCAGCCCTCAGATGAAGAGGAGGTGTTATCAAAGGATGGGTATCGGGCTGCCAAAGGCAAATCAAAGATGGTAGTTGATGAACCGCAAGTAGAATTTAGTTCTCCTAGTCAAACTTTAAAGCTGAAAGGTCAAAGTAATTCTTTGTCAGTTGGTGTTGTGTCTAATCAAATTTTGGGGGATGGAGGTGGTAAAAGTAAGCAACGTAAGAAAACCTCCAAGTTCCATCGAGTCCGCCTTGGTGATGGCTCAGTGGCAGCACTTTTAGATCTTAAAAATTCTGATCCTGCTGATCCAAATCCAGATTTAGAGGAGGAGGTAGCAGTAGATGGGTCCAAGAACTCGACTGAAGGTTTGCCTGTGCATGGTGTTTGGCGAAATGGTGGAGGTCAAAGGCTTTTGGCGAAGAAATCAAGAGACCCCAAAACATAATGCACTTTGCAATTTCTTTTTCTTTTGGCAAAAAGGTACCAGCAATTAATGACTAAGTTGTCTTAAGGAAACCTACATCTTCCGGAGCTGGCTTATCTGATTTTGTTGTCTAGGCATGGTAATTATGGTTTCAGAACAGAGTTTTCTTGAGTTGAACAGAATTTGCCTGAAGCGGCTATAATCTATGCCTCGGTCAAGGTATGTCCTGGTCATTATAAGTATTCACGTGTGTTGAGACTAGTTTGTATAATCTAGGCCTCAGTCACAGTGTTGGGTTGGCAGTTCTGCTTCAATTTTATACGTAGCCTTGGATATATTGGCAACTCATTTAGTGCTATATGTGTTTTCAATTTTTTGGTATTTGTATTGCCGGCACACTTGAGAAGTGCCATGGGAACCTCGTTTCTTCAATTGTAATATCCACACATATATAAGCTGTCAAATATTTGGTATTCCCTAGAATTAGAGCATGCATATATTTTCATGTGTGTCAAATATTTTCACAGTGGACACGAGCTGCCATAGTTGGTTGGTTAGAATGTTTCCTTCCTCATTTCTCGTTAAATGGGAAAACAGTGAATGTTGGCTGATCAATCGACAGCAAAATTTAGTTTTGGCTTTTGATTTTAACTCATTTTAAGATCTGTCCAACCATGAAGATGTTTAATTCCTCGAACAGATGAAAGCTGTTTAGTTTTTCAGCTGATTCCTATGATCTGCGGCAAAACAATCCACAACAAAAAACGAATTCAATGACTACCTCAATTATCGAGTAAACAATCGACTTCTCACAAAAAAACCATTGCTATTCCTTTTCCCAGTGTACGGAATTTGACCAAATTGATTCTTAAGAAATCTCGAATCAAGCCATTTGACTTTATTTCAGCAAAGGAAGCACAGGCCTAAACAAAGCATATTCATTCTCGCAAAAATGGACAATTGTATACCCTAGACAATAACAAACACCTTAACCTGTGTACTCTAGCGCTGACATAAATCCCTGTGAATTTACTAACCAACCACCCACTGCTTCCTACTTCATGCCTTGACGATTTTTCCCATTATTTCGAACTCAACTGGTTTTTCCCTTCTTCCTTGCAAGAAAAGACATAGGGCATCCAAAAATGTTCCCGACTTCAACAAGGCAAGATAGGGGTGCAGGCGCATGCAATACTTCTGCATATAAAGACACACACACACACACACATGGAATAAGGCAATGACTGCAACGAACAGCAAGTACAGTTATTCCCATTATGTTTGCCCTCATTGCCATTACTTATGCAAACAACATTAGTGTAGAATGGCAAAGAAACGTAAGTAGTTTTTGATGGAAAGAGGAAAGAGGTTGACATCTCCAAATATATATCAAGCATTACCAACATTTGGATAATGTACAAAATGGATAACCCTGTACAAGTTCCAATCCACACAAAGATACTTTAGTACATATAATTTGATGTCAGTCCACAACAATGAGCATATTCTGAGAATTTACAAAGGATAGTGTTCGCATATCAGGGTCTTAGCATAACCAAAGGTTTTCTCGCTGCTGTAGCACATGTAAAGGAAACCATCTTCGTCCTTGAATGATTCATAGACAGACTCCATCAAAAGTGCTGCAAATGGCAATTGATTAAAAGCTGCTTGCAGATTGTTGCTAATGAACACTAAAGTCACTCAACATACAAATTAATAGTCAAAACAAGCTAAGAGTTCAATGGAGAATTTACATGTTTGAGGCAAAGTATTCTTCACAAATACAAAGAGAGCTTTTCCAGGGGCCAGATGGAGCCTAACACTCAGGATGTGAAGGAATTGCCCAACAGACATGTCTCGGGGTACCAGATATCTGTAGTCAATATAGAAAGGAGAAATGGTCTGAGAGGATCAAATGAATTTAATCTATCTCCTCATATTGGCAAAAAGTTTCAAAAAAAATAAGAATCAGAGGGAAAAAAGCAGATGAGAATTCGACTACTTGATATTCCACTGCTGACAATGCAATGCTACAACAAATGATGCATATTTGGTCCCAAGGGTGCCTCATTTAGTAAAGCAGATTCCTTAAACATGCTAACCCAAATTGTATGTACAAGGAAATGGGGATCAGTAGTCAATTATCTGTGATGAAAAGGTACTCACGGTGTGTATACTACTATTATTACTATTTCACGGACCAAGAGATAACGATGGTCTCGTCAACGCAAGGTAACTTACTTTTTCTTTTCCATCTCAGGGAGGTCCGTTTTTGAATACCTTTCTACAACCACCTACAATATGTAATAAGGAATAAATAAATTAGATTACTATTGTAACCTGTCACATTAAGGAATATCTCAAGTATACCTGTAGGCAGTCACATAAAGAATCTGTCCAGAGAAAGGACACAAGAAAAGAGGGTACACAAAATTTTTGAATGCACCTTCCATAGGGAAATTTTATTAAAGTTAAGGATTCTACTATTAGTACACAAACTTATAGCTCAAAAACACATATATTAAGAGATAATGGTAATATTTGTCAACTGATCAGGTCATCAATGATTAAATGCATCCAGCTTCTAACATCTGAACATCAAATTTTGCCTGCTCTCATTTATCTAGCATGTCTAACTTTTTCCAATCCTTTTAGCACAATCCAGAAGTTTTAAAACTATTAGCAAATACTGCAACATGATGCCATTAGCAAAACCATGCAAGTCTTAGGTGCACATTTAAGGATTACTACTTCCGTTGGTTCTGACACAGAATGAAGTGAAGAATAAGAGGTTGATTAATGGCTCAAAACAAGGGAGAGTGGGTTTAGGTTTTGCTTCAGATTTCCAACAAAAGTGCTCTGCAAACTCAGAAATTCATCAGACTGGATAGAAAAGACAGAAAAGCAAGAGCCAGAAAAACCCTACTTCATGAGTTCTTACCGAAGGATCACATTCAAATAAATTCAATGGCGAACCAATTTATTTCATTTCACCCAAGAGCCTCATTTAAGAAGCGATTAACCTAAACCTCGAAAAAGTTGGCCCATTCGATAATCTTACAACACCAGGCTCAAATTAAATCGAAATAGACAATTCTCTGCAATAAATCTGCTGGATTGCAGAGCCAAGAGAAGCTAATCATAATTAAGAAGGAAAAAATTGAAAAAAGACCTTCCCTCCCCTCAACATACTCAAATTGATATCGAAGTTTCCACTAACGATCGCGCATCAATTAAAAATAGGTAAATAGTGAATTTAGAAAAAAGATCCATGTTAATGGAGGATGTAAAGACGGTAGATCCAACATTTGGTGATGATGGAAAGGGTGGTGGACGGACTTACGGGCACTCTATCAGGGTATTTGGCGGTGATATCTAGTGATTCTTCGCATCGTTCCTCTGCAGACAAATTTATGTACGGCAAGGATTAGATACATAAAGCTAAGAATAACAACATAATTGTAGTGTAGGTCATCGGAAATTGAATTGAATTCATGCGGATAAACAGTTTATTTAGACGAACTGAACGTAAATTCTTCTTTGAAAGATTTCATCTTCATCCTCCCCATCTATGGCTATGACTATAAGCCCCTGTCCTGTCCTGTTGTATCATCCACAGAGAGAGAAACAGAAGAGACGTAAGCGACTAGAAAGAACAGAACAGCTGGATAACGTAAAGGGCTTTTCTCACTTTGCACAGATTTTTTTTTCCAGTCACTTTTAAAAATTAAATTTTCCTCATTATACTATTCATGATCAAAAATATTATAGCGCGAACTTTTTATTATTTTGGGAGAATTATACCTAAATTTCTTAAAATTTGTTACTTAATCTCTCATATCCTTGACATTTGAAATATTACATACAAATCTCCTAAGGTTTGTACCTGCTCCTATCGTCAAATATTTGTTAGTAAATTATATTCATATTTCCTAAAGTTTATAAGTGTATAATATTTAAACCCGTCAAGTTTAAAATATTATACTTAGACAAAAAATATTCAAATCAAAAATAAAATATTAAATATTTTAAATTTTACAACCAAAATTCATGTCCAATTGTATCATTTATTGAAATAAAACTCTAATTTTTTTTAAAAATTTCGTAATTAGTATATAATTAACTTTGATTGGAGTAATTGAGTATTTTAATTTAGTATGACCAAATTAAATTTTAATAAATAGTATAATTGTACATTAATTATAATTTCTTTTTTAAAATAATTTTTTAATTTTAATTTTATTTTAATAAATTTTATAATAGAACATGAATTTTGGTTGTAAAATTTAAAATATTTAATATTCTATCTTTGATTAAAATTTTTGTTGTTTAAGTATAATATTTTAAATTTAAAAAGTCTAAATATTATATACTTATAAACTTCAGGAGTTATAGGTGTAATTTATTAATAGATATATTAATTAACATCGGTGGTAGAGGTCTAAGTTTTATTCACGTATAAATCTCTGGGGGTCTATGTATATTATTTTAAATGTCAAGGAATCTAAGTGATTAGATGACAAACCTCATGGAGTCTGTATATAATATTTTAAATGTCAAGTAATATGAGTGATTAAGTAACAAATATCATGGAGTCTGAGTGTAATTTTTCCTATTATTTTTTATGTTAAAAATTAACTTATTGACAGTAAAAAAAACTAACAGAATAATCATATTATAACACTTTTGATATATTGAAGGTATTATATGACAAATTTAATTTTTGATAATATAAAATAAGAATATTAAAATATTTCAGGGTACAAAGTGAAATTTTTACTTAGCTTTGAATTGAAATAATATTGTAGTAATATTTTATCAAGCAACCCTTTTATACACATTCTGCGGGGATAGCTCAGTTGGGAGAGCGTCAGACTGAAGATCTGAAGGCCGCGTGTTCGATCCACGCTCACCGCATTTCCACTTTTGTTTTGCCCTCAAACTGAAAGTTTCCGATTTCTTCCATTACTAATAATAATTCATGCCTAAAGATGCTAGAAAATATAAATAAATTGAACATTGTGTAGTATATTGTAGTATAAATATATGAAATAATAATTTATTTTTTCTATAATCACACAATTTAAAAACAATCTTGTCCCACTATTTTAAAAGTATGGTTGGGTGGGATTTTTAATTTTTAGAGAATTTGGCTTTAATTAACGTAAAGAAGTATGATTTTTCAAAAAAAATTTGTGATGATTTTCAATCATTAGATTGAATGCATTTCAGCCGCTCGTATGCCAAGCTAATCTAAAATAATGGATTCAAAATGAGTCGTGTTTTATTATATAGATTATTTTCATACAAACTTATCAAATCATATTAAGATTTTTTGCATTTATGTTTTTACCAAAATTAGTGAAAATATAGTTTCTATGAGCAATATAATTTATAAGAGTTTAAGTATTTTTTTTTGTAATTAAGAAGTTTCTATTCTTTATTACTTGATCTTTACCGAAAAAATACTAAACAAACAAATATTTATTGTCTTATAATATCTAGAGTTTTTCAATATTTTAAA